ACTATATATAAAGTAATTTTCCCACGGCACACCTTACACTATGTCACGGCACACTAGTGTGCCACAGCACAGTGGTTGAAAAACACTGGCTTAAGCTGCCACGAGATGCCTGCCCTGTGCCCCAACTGAGCTGCCCCATAAAAAAAATCTAGAGAAAAACTTCATGCAGTATTAAAAAGAATAGAAAAGGGGTTTGCTGTGTATTGTTTAATGGACTGCTAAATTGGCAAAATGGATGGCTAAATTGGCCACGTCCACCCAGTCACACGACCACCAAGCCACGCCTACTTGGTCACATGACTGCCGAGCCACTCCTGCCCAGTCACATGACCACTAAGCCACGCCTGCCCGGTCACATGACTGCCAAACTATGCACATGGAACTTGTGGTAAAAAAAATTGAAAGCCACCACTGCTCTGGACCCACTCAATCATATTAATGTCCAATATACAGTGTGGATTCCAGGCAGACGAGCTGCATTCGGGAATTGGTCTGGGAAAGATTTTGTATGGCCTAGTTAGTAATATAATGTTACCGGAGAAGAAGCTTTGCAAAATTACATTAACAACTCTTAATGCCTTTTTGGCAATGCTGTTACTGGGCTCTGGGTCTTAGATTATTTGAGATGAGTACTCCTAGGTCCTTGACAGAGTGAGGGTCATCTACAAGGTAGTTTCCGCTCAACTTGTATTTGGTGTTCTGATTTTTATTGCCAATGTGTAGGACAGAGCATTTGTTATTCGAGATTTGGAGTTGTCAATTGCGCAACCATTCAGACATATGGTCAAAGTCGCTTTGTAGGGTAGCGGCATTGTCAGTGGTGTAGAATAATTTTATGTCATCAGTGAAGAGGACGCAGTTGCTTTTAATATGATTGCATAGGTTGTTAATGTAAAGCAGAAAAAGTGTGGGTCCTAGAATACTGCCTTGGGGGACATCGTTGTTAACTAGTGAAAGGTTTGATAGGGCGCTTCTTATTTCGATTACTTGTTGCCTGTTTGACAGGAATGCGGCTATCCATTTGTGTAAGGATGCAGAAATACCGTAAGAACTTTTAATAGTAGTTTGTTGTGCCCCACTAAATCAAAGGCTTTGCAGAAGGCTATGTAAATTGTGTCTATTGCTTTACTGTGGTCAAGATGTGTGGTCCAAATGTTTCTGCAGTGTAGGATTGCAGATTGCAGGACAATTTTTTTCTGAAACCAAATTGCTTGTTAGAGAGCAGGTTGTTTGTCTCTAGATGGAGGGTGATGGATTGGTTTATAATTGATTCCATGACTTTACAGGTCACGCAGCACAAGGAGATTTGCCTGTATTTTTTAGGGGTCTCCTTTTTTAAAGATAGGTATGACCGTGGCTAATGACAATAGGTCGGGCGAGCAGCTGGTTCTGAAAGATACCTCGTATATTGTGCATAGAGGTTCAGCTATGGCTGTGGCAAGTTTTTTTTAAAGAAGTAGGAACATAATCCATCAGGGCCAATAGATAGAGATGGCTTTAGGCTACATAGTGCCATTTTGACATTATCTACTATAAAATCAACTTCTCTGTAACTAGTTTGTTACAGCATATTTATCCCCTCTGTTTTTGAAAGGAAATGTATATAAAGACATAAAATCTTGGTGTGAATGCTAAGGACTATATGAAAAATGCAAACAATATACCAACTTAAAGATAAAGCTCTCCAGGAGGTCTTTGAAAAAAAGAATGCTTTTTAACCTAAAAGCTCAAATGGAAAACTTTAGATGACAGGCCAAATTGGTTGAATATAGAGGTAAAAGTTTATAAATTCTGGACCTGCTTCACAAGGTGTGTGTGTGTGTGTGTAAATTAACATTGTTCTAATATCAGTTCAACAAGAGGGGAGAATATATGTGTCTTTTATTTTTCTAATGCACTTTTTTTTTAAGTTTTGTCTATCTTGATTTTGTCTTTGTAAAAACTTTGTTTCCTTATCTAGGCCATTTTCTCAGAATTCTGTGCTTGATGTTTTTTTTTGTCTGCTGACAGTTTGAATTATTGAATATTTGTTGTTCATGATTTGGGTGAGATTGGTGGATAGACCTCAGTCTTATAGTAAGATTAGCAGTTAAGGATTCGTATAGAGGAGCCAGCAATATTCTGAACCACCATCCAACTGCCTCTCCAACAGCTGTCAGTCTTATTGAACTATTTTCAAACTTTTATTTTCTTCTGCTGGTTTCTTACTCTACATCAAATTTTATTCTATTGTGTTGTCTTTAGACAATTATTGGACTGATTATCAAACCTTTTCAGAATTTATTTTTAACATTCTCCTGTATTAGAAATAATAAAAAGGCAGATTAAAAACATTCAAGGGCAAGAAGAAAAAGATACAATGCAATAATAAATAGTAGTACAGACTTTGCTTGTCCTAATACATTATAATGCAATTAAATGGCAGTAGAAAAGAAACCTCTGCCTTTTTTATTGATCACAGAATGCTAGTTGGCAGCTGAAAGTAGATATAATCATTTATAGTTCTGTGAGAGCTATTGATTTTAAGTGGCATTATAAGGCCGGAATGTGGAATCTCACTTAGAAATGGTGATAGTATTCTTTGTTCCCTCCAGTACAGAGGTGTCAAACTCGTGTCATCACAACGGCGTCATGTGACATATCGCGACTATTCCCCCCCTTCGCTAAACATGGCATGGGCGTGGCCAGCACATGATGCATACTGCCCATGGACTGGGAGTTTGACAGCCCTGCTCTAGTACTATCAAGTTTAGAACATTAACATGAAGTAGAGAGAAAGCTTTATAGTAGTTTAAGTATATCAGACCAAATAAGTAATCCCTCATAGAAAAAGAATGTGATCTTTTTGGAGAGCTCTATCTAAAGCAGTGTTTCTCAAACTTAGCAACTTTAAGATGGGCAGACTTCAGATCCCAGAATTCCCCAGTTTCCCCCTGCTGGCTAGGGAATTCTGGGAGTTGAAGTCCCAGACAGTTAGACATTGGTCTAACGTGTACTTTTTTGTTGTTTCAGCTTTAGCCCAGTTCAGTTCATGTGTTAGCAAAATTAACTTGGAAAAACAATGTTGACAATGTATCCTGGAGCTGCACCTTCCATGAAAATCAATGCAGCTAAAAACTCCCTATAAAATTTAGTTTGAGGAATTAAGTCAATAAATGCAGACTCTTACTGGAAGACCATCCCAAATACAAGTCCTATAGATTCCAACAGAGGGTCTGAAATAAGCCTCTTAAGATTTGATAGGATGTTTTTGGTTGGATTTAATGGAACATAGGCTCACACTGATAAATCATAGCATTTCGCAAATCGTTTTTATTTCAAAATCCTAACTATACAATTGTTCCACATAAATAGAATGTACACTTCTGTTGTCTGTTTTGAATTAGATTACTTTGTGTATATCAGAAATAAATATTTGGCATGAAGTTATCATAAGAGTCAGCTATTGGTAGATTGTTCTAAAGAGTCAGATTGGTATATTTGCACTGATTAATTAGTAAAATTTATTTTGATTATATTGATGTAACAATCTGAATGCACTATTAACACATTGTTTTACTTTTTACAGATGATGTGATGCAGACCACCTACTGTGAAATAGATTTAGATAAACAAACAAGAGATGCATTTGTTTATGCTATCAAAAATCACTATTGGTATCAGATGTACATTGATGACTTGCCAATATGGGGTAAGAAATATATGCCTACAATGTGCAGAATCTTTCTATTAAAAACAAGTATGTTTATTCCAAACCATAATTTAATTATGGTTTAATAAATCATATTTGACTGAGTTCACATAAATGTTATAAACAATTGTGGATTGGATTTAAATCAAGGTTTAAATCAAAATTTTTAAAGAGCAATTGCTCTGTCCCCCAGCGGCTCCTCCTCTGACCCATTGTTGACTCACTGACAGTCCCTTCACTTTAGTGGGATGGCTGGTGATGCAGCAGTGACACAACAAGATGAGGAACATGGCATTCTTGCTGGTAGTTAGAATCCTTAATGTTATTATTTGCAAACAAAATGAAGGTTTAAACCTTAGAATAATAAGCTGTCAGGTTTGGTTAATCATACATAGTTGGAGAACTACTCAAATTCTCTCATTTAATTGAAACAATAACATATTCTTGTATTTTCTTACACATCAATATTTAGTAACTAAAGCGCATAAACAAAATATCTTTGAAAAAACAAACAAAAGAACTTAAACTGAATATATCATCTGGCGCCACATTAAAAAAAACTTCAAACACGGTCTTCTGCAGCTCACTCATTCTCATCTTTGTTCTCTTGTTTGTTCATGAGCTGGAAAAGAAAAACAAACTTTCCTGTTTCATCAGGTCTCAGACGATTTCTCAATTTAGAGTGAACAAGTCCAAAGGAAGAGAATATTCTTTCAATGCACCACATATGGCACGCAGAGCCCTCTCTGCGGCCATGCCAGCTGTCACCCCAGCCCAACTCCATTGCACATGCGCACATGCCTCCCGTTGGTCAGCTGGTCTTAGGGTCTCTGCGCATGTGCAGGGGGTGGGGCCTTCCCCGATTTCCGCCGATTTCTCCCCCCAGCATGCCTTACATTCTTCTCCATTTCTGCCTCCCGTGCCTTCCCCGATCTCCACAGTTTCCCCCTTCCCCGCGCCCTACCTTTCTACTCCATTTCTGTTGCCCACACCAACCTGGAAGCCAAAATGACACATGGAGGGGGGCATATGTGTGGTGGAAGTGTGCGCATGCATGGGGATGCTTGCATTGGATTTGGGGGATCGGGGCACACGTGTGCATTTGCGTGCACACTTTGGGCACTCGGCACCACAAAGCTTAACCATCACTGCTGTAGAACAGGAGGATGGCGATTTAGAAAGTGGATAATTTCCAGAATCTTTTATATTGATGGTAGTTTCACCTAAATATAAAAGTCGGTGCTGTTATTTTATTATTTAAACTATGTATGCTTATTGTGAATGTCTTATTGTCTTATTGTATTCACACACAGTTCAGCCTAAAAAGGAATACTCATTTTTTTGGGGGGGGGGGGCAACTGTATAAAAATGCAGTGCCATTCAGTAACAATAGCAGATATATATTATTGCTTTAGCATATCATGGCAGTCTAAAAAATATGGTGAAATAAAAGCAGTTTACCA